AAATATGAAGCGAAATATGAAATGAATTAATAAAGAAACGAATTAGCCTTTAAAATAACGATAATTACTATTAGTATACAGTAGTATAGCAATAGTTTATTTAATTAATCGATGATATCATTAATGATTGTCGTTTGATTTCCCGGGCAACCACATGATCATCCGGAGCACAACCTAGTACACATTTTCGATTTTATGCTGGGTTTCCGTATGATACTTCGAAACAAAAAACTAAGCTCAAATATGTCCAAAGTTTCACGAATAAGGAGAAAAAAAAAGTATTATAAACAAAAAATAGTTTAAACAGTTTGTTTAACAGAAGCGATGCATAAAAAGAATATAGCGCATAAGATTTTAAGATGGTAAATTCCGAGACACTTTGAAAATTAATGATGACTCGCCAACATCAGTAATTTATTGATTTGATCATTTAGAAATTTTTCAGCTGTTTTAGGATTTATGAAAACATCTATAAATGATTAAAGACCATTTTAGAAACCAAGACTAACCTGAAAATCATTAGTGGATCGGTCTTATTAGTGACTGGGACATTGGACTGGACTTATATGTAACTAATGCCACATCTTAATTAGGGATGTTATCCTACTTGCCCGAACTCAGTTCGACCCTATTTGGAACTGAACCCAATGGAACTCGAGTTTTTGCGACCACATGATTTTATTATCATATCATGCACCAAACGAGTTTGAAATAGAAACGTTTGATTTGTAATAAACTTTAGACTTACAATTACTATCGTTATCATTATTACTTTTTAATTAAAAGTTAATTTAATGTGGCATTATATGTCGACAATTAGTCTTCTTTCTTTTTTAATATAAATATGCGACTTTCTCTTTATATATATATAAATATTTATTTATTTAGTTTCACTATTCGATGGACGAAGACAATACGTTTGAAGAACTTATTGATTTAACTGAACCTACCTCTTCAAGTTCGATGTCTCCAAAATCACTTGAATTTGGAACGCTTATGGAAATAAAGAACAATCCTCAAAAGCGATTAAAAAGAAACCCTTTCTGGAATGAGCTTACTCAAATCGGTGATAAACAACATTGCAAACTTTGCAATAAACCTTATTCAGGGTATTATAGACTGTAATTAAGGTTAATAAATTATTAGATAAATAAATAACAGCGATAGATGCAATAGATACTATAATATTATAATGCAAAAATTTATATATTTTTAAATGTAAATTTCATGTATTTGCTTTATTAAAAAGTAATAGCGATAACATGTTTTATATGGAATCAAATACAATGTCAGCTATATGTAATACTCGCTTGCATGCAAAATCAAGAATTTAAAGGCGACTTTAAATAAATATTTTCGGTAGAACCATTTAATTAAATCCATTTGTGCAAAATGATGAAGCATTATATGTCCAAACTAATCTTAGCCAAATTAATTCTAGCACACACGCATCGTAAAAATGAATTATGGATATAAAAAAAGTATTATTTGTTTTAACCTTGGACAATTTCATTCTTTGCCTAAAGATTCCCAAATGAGTGGCCTTTTTTTTATAGTGCATCCCACAAATCTAATTTTATTTTTTTTCTGAAAAGGTACGATCTATTAATAATAATACATATGTTGTTCCTTAACACTTGCGTTGGTGTCAGCTGCATAATTATCATTTGACCAGAATTAACAGATCAGCCAAACTATAGCTAGGGTTGTAAAATTGCCGTAATTTTGCGCAACTTTCGGTAAAATGGTTTCCATGTAATTAGTAAGAATCGTGGTTATACAATTATCATACTGTATGTGCATAGATTTGATCATTAAACTTTATTTAGTCTATTGTAGTTCATTAATACTGGCTAAGTTGTTCATAGTGCAGGTACATATATCACGTGTGAAATCACATGAAATCCATGTTATTGAAACTTACGCAAAATTACATGAAATGTAAAATTGTAAAATGTAATTTTCAATCCTAACTATAGCCTAGTTCTGATACTAAAACTGGGACGCAACAAATATATGTAATTCGTATTTTGTACACCATGTTAACATTTAAATGTTTATGCGCCTTTAATAAACATTTAACTTTATTACCTTTCACTGTAAGTTCAATCGGATTGTTAAATATATCAATAGTAATTTATGTCACGGATGATGCTAAAATTCGGATCTATTACATGTATGATTTTGATATTTTTAGGTCTTTTTTGGCAGCTTTTTTTTTTTAGAGTTAGGTTAGAATTTAGGGTTAGAGTTGTAAATTAAAAAGTAGAGTTGTAAATTAAAAAGTATAAGTGGATTCTGTAAGATTTATATTTTCAAATCGAGACTCCAAATTACAGCATCATCAAACTTCACCATCATTCACGACAATATATAAGGTAGAGAATCAAAGAAAATGATTCAAAATTTAAAAATTAGTTATTATGAACTTTTAATCGTAACTGTGATAGTTTTGGCGTTTTGGCATTCATAATACCTATCTCAACTAATAATTATTGTTAATCAAATATAAGATAACCAAGTTCAATCTCAGACACTATAAAATATCACAAGTATTAAGTCTGAAAAACCATCAGTATTATTAGGTAGGTTTATGCCTTTAATTCTTACGGTCTTATGTTTGCTGGAACTGTTGTTATTGCAATAGTTGTATGTATAAACGCCGTAAACACAAAGGTGATAGTAATGATTATGATAATTCTCATAATTGCGATAGAAAAATGTATAAAAATCATAACAATATTGAACGACAAGTAAGCCAGATTAAGATAAGATCCTAATCACCATAAAAACACCTCTGACGAGTTGCCTTAACCCACTGTTCTTGTGTTCCAGTCCATCTTATCGTTGAAAATTATATTTCCTCATAAATATTTCATTATGATTCACATTCAAAACCTTAACGCGATGACAAAGTTAAGATATAGGTTTTATTTAGTAATCAAGTTAAGTTCAATCAGTACCGATCCATTATTTATTCATTTTCTTATATCATTACATTATTGATTTCAAATAAACGATCACAAAATACGAACCGACGGTTTCATTACTTTTTTGTACAACATATCCCAAGAGCTAAGTATGTAGTCCCTATAACTAATAATAACTGACATTAATGTTTTAGAAAATAAGATGCTATAAAAATTTCGGTAATCAGTAAATAAATTTTTATAAAAATATATATTATATATATGTCTAAAATACTTTATTATCAATAAAAAAACTAATCATATTAATCAGTTTTTTACGATAAATTATAAGATATGCTTTTAAATGAATTGATTAATAATAAAAGTAAAACTAATTAACCCAATTGCGATATTGAAAGCAGTTAATTCATTGTATAAAGAATTCGCTGCTGAAATACCATCAGTCGGTGTAATTTCAGGACTAAAATTTGATATTTAAAAAGAGATTAATACAAATTAACATTGTACCTTTCATATGAAATGTTTTGCATAAGAAAAAAATTACCTCGATGTTGGCGGTGAATTAGCAAATTGTGTTAACGACGATGGAACTGTCGGTAATTCTGTCGGTAAGTCTGTCGGTAATTCTGTCGGTAAGTCTGTCGATAGTACTGTTGAAAATTCTGTCGATAGTGTTGGTGACGATTCTGTTGTAAGTGGTTGTGTTGGTGATTCTGTTGCAGGTGGTTGTGTTGATTCTGTTGCAGGTGGTGGTGTTGGTGATTCTGTTGCAGGTGGTGGTGTTGGTGATTCTGTTGTAGGTGATGGTGGTGGAACATTAGAATTTACAGGTTGAGATGGTGGAATATAGGTATCTCCAGAGTGTAGTGGAGTATAGGTGTTTACAGGTTGTGATGCATCTCCAGGGCGTGGTGTGGTATTCGCAGGAGGTGATACTGTCGGCGGATCAGTCTTCGGATTTGTCAGTGGATCAGTATTTGGATTTGTTGGCGGATCAGTCTTTGAATTTGTTGGCGGATCAGTCTTCGGAATTGTTGGCGGATCAGTTTTCGGATTTGTCGTATTTGGATTCGCAAGTGGTGTTGAGGTTGTAACATATGTTGCGACTACCGGAGTGTAGGATAGTTTTTGCAAATTTCTTATGTTAAAGCGGTTGTTTTCATTGGGATAGGACTTTGCTACCGCTCCAATTATTCCAAAAGCAAGTATAAGTATGTATACTTTATAAACGAAATTAGCCATCATTTATTTTTTAATTAAATAATTATGCAATTTTATAAAACAAATATTAATATAAACTGTATTTATATAAAATTTGCAAAGGCAATTTGCAATCTTTATAACCGCGTACTATAAGATGGGTGCCTCATTAAAAGGACGATTTTTGAAAAAAAAATTTAATTTTTGAATAGAAATACATTTAAATATATAAGTTGCAATGCTAATCACATGATGAAAGGATACACAAAATAAACTTTTAGCCAAAAAAATTTATTTTATTGATTATCGTTCAAACTTACCTTTTTAATATAAGCACTCCAGATGAGCTGCAATGTAGGATAATTAAATTACTCGTACTTAGTAGTCATATGCACCCGTCCGATTTTTAATCAAGAATTGATATTAAGTTGTTGCGTTCTTGATAGATTAATAGTTGAAAATGTGTGTATTACAATAAATTTTTTAAGTTGGGATTCAAATTTCAAGTTGGAATCTCGGTGCAGGGTCCGTATTATTTCACCGACAATCACTTCATCGACAGCTCATTTAACCGACATCATGCCAGGTGAAATTTGGTAAAAATATACCTGCAACTAATCAAATGCTTAACCAAAACCCTATGTGATGTCGGCTAAATGAACGTTCTGTGAAATGATTGTCAGTGAATTGATCGGAACAGCTTGGTACACTGAAAATCACATCGTAAATTACCTGATCACTTGATCCACGTAAACCGATATGTAATTTCGATCGACGCCTTACTAACTTTATTTCTCTTTATATCGGTTTTGGTTATTTCGTACTAAATTCATATATATTAATTACAAGTTAATTAGTTAGTTTCAGGTAGCGATAGTATCAAAGTCAAAAGAAGTTAATCGCGAAACATATCGTATCGTTCTTACATGTATATATAACTAGTGATGTGCCTATATGGTACCTGAATTTTTTTCTCGTACATTACGCAGTGATGTACGTTTTGACTGTCCAAAGGCTTTTTTGGTACTGAAGTCCACAAGTGTCCAGAGCATGTCCAAGCTTTAATAATTAATAAATTTATTTAAAAAATATATAATTATATATTTTTTTTAGGTGCTGAACATATTTTACTTAGAAAATAATATAGGTTATCTTAATAAAATTTTGAGTAATTTCAATTTATTTAATTGTCCAAAGTGTCCAAACTTACTGTCCACAACTGCCCCGTGACAACACTGCAGTATGTATAATTGTATAGTGTGCATAACATACGTAATATACATAATACATGTGGCATTTATAAACCAGTTATATGTAATATTTTGCAAGGAACAATTTTTGTTAGAGTGCGTAATACAGTTTCATAATTAAAAATTTGAGATATGATACTTTAATGATTTGTTCTAGAATCTTCTAAAAAATTTTTTGCGTACTGTACTGTACGCGGCACATCTCTATATATAACCCGTCGTTTTGTCCCACTAACAACAGACTTGCTCTCATTATATAGATTTTGAGGGTTTTCGCTGCAAGTTCAATCTGATTGTTAAATATTTTAATAGTAATTTATGTCACAGATGATGCTGAAAGCGGATGATGCTAAAATTTGTATCTATTTCATGTATGATTTTTGATTTTGATGTTTTTTGTGCCTTTTTTTTTTTTTTTTTTTTTTTTTTTGAGAGTTAGGTTAGAATTTAGGGTTAGAGTTGTAAATTATAAAGTATAGGTTGATTCTGTAGGACTTATATTTCAAATCGAGACACCAAATTACAGCATCATCAGACTTCAGTATCAGTCGCGACAATTTATAAGGTAGAGAATTAAAGAAAATGATTCAAATTTAAAAATTAGTCGTCATGAACTTTTAATCGTAACTGTGGTAGTTTTGGCGTTTTGGCATTCATAATACAAGTTTATGCCTATCTCAACTAAATTGTTTATATTAATTATTGTTAACTAAATATAACATAGCCAAGCTCAATCTCAGATTCTATTAAATATCACAAGTATTAAGTCTGAAAAACCATTAGTATTATTAGATAGGTTTAAGCCTTTAATTATTACGGTTTTATGTGTGGCTGGAATTGTTGTTATTGCAATAGTTGTATGTATAATGTGAATAAACGCCGTAAACACAAAAGCGATAGTAATCATTATGATGATTCTCACAATTGCGATAGAAAAATGTATAAAAATCATAACAATATTGAACGACAAGTAAGCCAGATTAAGATAAGACCCAAATCACCATAGTAACACCTCTGACGAGTTGCCATAACTCATTGCTCTTGTGTTCCAGTCCATCTTATCGTTGAAAATTACATTCTCCGTAAATACATCTTCTCATTCCTTACTGTACTCATCGTTTTTTAAGTTAACGCGATGACAAGTTAAGATACAGGTTTTATTTAGTAATCAAGTGAAGTTCAATCATGTATCGATCTATTATTTTCTTATATCATTGCGTTATTGATTTCAAATAAACGATCATAAAATACGAACCGACGGTTACATTACTTTTTTGTACAACAAATCTCAAAAGTTAGGTATTTAATCCCTATAACTAATAATAACCGACATTAATGTTTTGGAAAATAAGATGTTGAAAAAATATCGGTAATCCAGTAAATAAATTTTAATAAAAATATTCCATATATGTATAAAATACTTTATTATCAATAAAAAAAAATAATCTTATTAATCAATTTTTACGATAAATTATAAGATATGCCTTTAAATGAATTGATTAATAATAAAGGTAAAACTAATTAACCCAATTGCGATATTGAAAGCAGCTAATTCATTGGATAAGGAACTTGCTGCTGAAACACCAACAGTAGATGTAACTGCAGGACTAGAATTTGATATTTAAAAAAAGAGATTAATATAAATTAACATTGTACCATTAAATGAAATGTTTTGGAATAAGAAAAAAATTACCCATCTCTACTCGGTGTTGGCGGTGAACTAGCAGATTGTGTTACTGATAAAGTAGACGATGGTGTTGACGATGGAACTGTAGATAATTCTGTCGATAATACTGTTGAAAATTCTGTCGATGGTGTTGGTGATGATCCTGTTGTAAGTGGTGGAACATAGGTATTCACAGATGGTGTTGGAGAAACATGAGTATCCACCTGCGGAGGAGTATAGGTATCTACAGGTTGTGGTGGAGTATAGGTATATACAGGTTGTGGTGTAATCGAGGTATTTCCATTTACATTTATAGGTTGTGGTGGAGTATAGGTATATACAGGTTGTGGTGTAATCGAGGTATTTCCAAAGTTATTTACACTCCCAGGTTGTGGATTATTGGTATCTCCAGGGTGTGGTGTGGTATTCGCAGGAAGTGATACCCAAATTACGACACTATCTACATAAGGGAATGTAGTGTATGTAGTATATGGTACAGTGTACGTTGAACACCTAGATTCTTCTCGTTTCCCTGGAAGATTTGGTGACTTCGGCTTCGAATTTGGTTTCGTATCTGGCTTCGGCTTCGGATCAGTCTTCGGATTTGTTGGCGGATTAGTCTTCGGATTTGTTGGCGGATCAGTCTTTGGATTTGCCGGCGGATCAGTCTTCGGATTTGCCGGCGGATCAGTCTTCGGATTTGCCGGCGGATCAGTCTTTGGATTTGTTGGCGGATCAGTCTTCGGATTTGTCGGCGGATCAGTCTTCGGATTTGTTGGCGTATCAGTCTTCGGATTTGTCGGCTGATCAGTCTTCGGATTTGTCGGCGGATCAGTCTTCGGATTTGGATTCGCAAGTGGTGTGCAGGATGTGTATACGGAGTATGTAGTATATGTTGATGTTGTAACGTATGTTGTGACTACCGTAGTGTAGTATCGTTTATGCAAATTTCTTATGTCAAAGCGGTTGTTTGCAACTTCATTGGGATAGTGCCTTGCTACCGCTCCAATTATTCCAAAAGCAAGTATAAGTATGTATACTTTATTAACGAAATTAGCCATCATTTATTTTTTAATTAAATAATTATGCAATCGTGTAAAACAAATATTAATAATATAAACTGTATTTATATAAAATTTGCAAAGAAAGGCAATTTTCAATCTTTATAACCGCGTATTATAAGATGGGTGCCTCATATTAAAAGGACAATTTTTTGAAAAAAAAAAATTTATTTAATTTTTGAATAGAAATATATTTAAATATATAAGCTGCAAATGCTAATTACATAATGAAAAGATACACAAAATAAACTTTTAGTCAAAAAAATTTATTTTATTGATTATCGTTCAAACTTACCTTTTTAATATAAGCACTCCAGATGAGCTCAGTGCATTTTTAAATGGTTTTCCAATGTAGGATAATTAAATTATTCGTACTCAGTAGTCATATGCACCCCGTCCGATTTTTACTTAAGAATGATGCAAATATGTATTACAACGATATATTACTATTTATTAAGTGGTTGCGTTCTTGATAGATTAATAGTTGAAAACCTTTATAAATGTGTGTATTACAATAAATTTTTTAAGTTGGGATTCTTATATATCTACGTACTACAATAAATTTCAAGTTGGTATCTTGGCGTAAGGCGATGGTATGGTCAAATTTGTACTTGTGATTGAAAATGCATCATGTATCATGTACGATAAGATGGAAGGCTAATTTTAAATTTTTTTAACGCTGTAATTTCTTCCCTTTTTAACTTTTATGAATAAATTGCGATGTGCATCTGTGTACGCATATATTCGAATTCATTAACAGTTACAGTACTTGCTGCACAAAAAAATCAACCACAATAAAAGATTATGAAGAGAAACAATGAAGGATCAGAAAATAATAGTGAAATATTGTGAGGAAAATTAAAAAGAAATCAATTTTAAATTTGAAGAAATCAAATGAAGAGTTGATGTGATGAAAATATAGCATTACATGAATATTCTGTGTAGTGATGAATCAGTCCTAAAAGGACCAAGTAATTCAAAATTACAATGATGACTAGCAATTTATAATAGCATGATAACAATTCTCAAACTCATTTATGATTTAAGCAACCCTCAGGTTGATTTTTGAGTGATTAATATGGTACCAAATGCTGAGATTAAATGAAGTTTCCAAAATTTATGGTATGAAATGCATGTTTTATATCTTAAGCCTTATCTGATCTTAAATTATAGGGTGTCAACAGCGCCCATATCCCTATAAAAAAAAAGTTTGTTCAGTTATTGTAGGCATTGTCCAAAAAAATGTTCGGAACGGAGTCGATTTTCCGAACAGGGTTT